CCCCGGGAGTGTGTCATCTGTGCCTCAGCTTGTCCTTTGAGCACTGGGGAGGGGGATGTGAGCTTCCTGCCCAACCCCCACCTCAGCACTATCCACGGTGTCCAAATCAGAGGTGTCAACCAGAGAAGTGAGATGAGCAGAGCTGATTGAGTGGCCTTCAGGAATGGCTTGCTCCAGCTGCAGCGCAGCCTCAGCAGGGCAGCCTAGTTCTCGCCAAAAGATACTAAGTATCAGTCCCCATGCTGGGAGTCAGGTAAGGGATGGGGGTCTCTGCCCTGAGACAGCTCATGCCTTTGGGAGGTGACTATTTCCCTGTCGTGTTCCAGACATGAATGAGTGTGGACCACCCACGAGCGTGTCCTGTGGAAAACTCGCAGACTGTCATAACACAGAGGGAAGCTACTACTGCACGTGTAGCCCAGGATATGGGCTCGTTTCTGGGGCAAAAACGTTCAGGAATGAGAGTGAGAACACGTGTCAAGGTGAGAACCAACCCATGTCCTTCATTTCCCCGTCTATGAGTATGGGGCCATCAAAGTCGTTCATCAAACTGTGAACTCTGCTTTGCTGGGTCCCAGGAGGAGGATCCTGTGCTGACAATCGTCACCTATGTGGGGCTGGGCCTCTCCCTGCTGTGCCTCCTCCTGGCGGGCCTCACATTCCTCCTGTGCAAAGCCATCCACAACACCAGCACCTCCCTGCACCTGCAGCTCTCGCTCTGCCTCTTCCTGGCCCACCTCCTCTACCTCACTGCAATCGACCAGACAGAACCCAAGGTACTGACGGCGTCCCAGAGTAACCCCCTGCCCTGGCCCAGGGGGAAGCTGAGCTCATGGAGCGATGCTGCGTTGGATTCCTTAATAAAATGGCATTGAATACTGGGGAAGCTTAGACGAGGGAGACGCTAATTTCACATTGTCCGACTCTTCTAGAAAATAAATCCCCTCTTGACCATTTCATCATATATATCAGAATTCTTCCCAGTGGCAGGGTTGGGAGAGGTCCCGGGCCACGCTCACACCCGACTGCCACTCTGGGTGTCTTTTCCTCCTCCCGCAGGTGCTGTGCGCCATCATCGCTGGTGCCTTACACTACCTCTACCTGGCCTCCTTCACCTGGATGCTGCTAGAGGGCCTGCACCTGTTCCTCACTGCATGAAACCTGACCGTGGTCAATTACTCCAGTGGGAGCAGACTCATGAAGAAGCTCATGTTCCCTGTGGGCTACGGGGTCCCAGCTGTGATTGTGGCAATTTCCGCAGCATCCAGGCCCCACCTCTATGGAACACCTGCCCGGTAAATGTAAATTCCAGCTGTCCTTATGTCCTCCTGCAAGTCCATGGCCACCACCAGAACCAATGTAGCATTTTGTTTATGCCAGAGCACAATGTAGAGACAGACACTGAATAATATTCCTGGGCACCTTTCCGGTAGAGGATAATGATGAAGGGCAATGTGTTTAAATCTCTGTCTTTGAAATAGCAAAGATAAAATTTTTAAAAAGTACTCAAGATAAAATTATTTTTTTAATTGACACATAATAATTGTACATGTTTATAAGGTACAGAGGTGTATTTCAATACATGTATACAATATGTGATCAGTGTAATTATCAGGGTAATTAGCATAGCCATCATTATAAAAATTTATCATTTTTTTGTGACGAGAGCATTTGAGATCCTCTATTCTAGCCATCTGAAAACATACAATAAATTATTGCTCATCATAGACACCTAGCACTACCATAGAACAATAGAACTTATTTTTCTATCTGGCTATAATTTTGTTTCCATTAAACAACCTCTTTCTATACCTCCCTTCTCTTACCCTTCCCATCCATTAGAAACCACAATTCTACTCTCTACTTCTATAAGATCAACTATTTTTTTTCTTTTTTTAGCTCCCATATGCAAGTGGGAATATGCAGATATTTATCTTTCTGTGCCTGATTTATTTGACTTGACATAATGTCTTCCGTGCTCATCCATATTGCTGCAAGTGACAGAAATTCATTCCATCTTATGGCTGGATAATATTTTACTGTTTACATATACACATTTTCTTTATTCATTCTCCTGTCAATGAACACCTAGGTTGATTCCATATCTTGGCTGTTGTGAATGGTGCGGAGGTAAACATGGGAGTGCAGGTGTCTCTTCGGTATACTAATTTCCTTCCCTTTGGATAAATACTAAGTAGCAGGATTGCTGGATCACACGGTAGTCCTACTTTAGTTTTTTGAGGAACCTCCATCCTTTTTTTCATAATGGCTGTACTAATTTACATTCCCACCAACAATGTATAAGAGTTCCTTTTTTCTGCATCCTCACCAGCATTTTTATTTTTTGTTTTTTGGATTTTTTTAAAAAATATATAATAGCCATTCTAACTTGGGTGAGATGATTTCTCATTGTGGTTTTGATTTGCCTTTCCTTGATGGTTAGTGATCTTCAGCATTTTTTCATATACCTGCTGTCCATTTGTATGTCTTCTTTTTTTTTTTTTTCCTTTTTGTCTTTTTTTTCATGTCCAGCAATGGATCACAACCCTCAGTGTCGCGCCCGTACCGGACCGGGGACCGGCAACGGGATCACAAACCTCAGTGCCGCGCCTTCACCTCGCTCAGCCAGTGAGCAGGAACCAGTCTGTATGTGGGATCCGAACTGTAGCAGTGCGCCACCGGGCCGGCCCCATTTGTATGTCTTCTTCTGAGAAAAGTCTATTCAGGTCTTTGGCCCATTTCTTACTCGAGTTACCTGTTTTTTGCTGTCAATTTGTTTAAGTTCCTTCAATATTCTGGATATCAATCCCTAGTCAGAAAATAGTTTGCAAATATTTTCTCCCATTCTGTGAGTTGCCTCTTCACTCTGTTGATTGTTTATCCAAATCCTGTAGGATGCTCCAGTTTTTCATTTGGAAAAGTAGACCTGATTTAAATAACCAAAATAATTGATGTTGGCATAGTTAAGGTCAACAAGGTGCCTGCTTTGTGCCAGGCACACTTTCTATCTAATTTTTCATTTTCAGCCTAACTGTGCTGTTTTTTTTTTTTTTTTTTTCCTTTTTGTCTTTTTTTTTCATATCCAGCAATGGATCGCAACCCTCAGTGTCGCGCCTGTACCGGACCGGGGACCGGCAACGGGATCACAAACCTCAGTGCCGCGCCTGCACCTCGCTCAGCCAGTGAGCAGGAACCAGTCTGTATGTGGGATCCGAACTGTAGCAGTGCGCCACCGGGCCGGCCCCATTTGTATGTCTTCTTCTGAGAAAAGTCTATTCAGGTCTTTGGCCCATTTCTTACTCGAGTTACCTGTTTTTTGCTGTCAATTTGTTTAAGTTCCTTCAATATTCTGGATATCAATCCCTAGTCAGAAAATAGTTTGCAAATATTTTCTCCCATTCTGTGAGTTGCCTCTTCACTCTGTTGATTGTTTATCCAAATCCTGTAGGATGCTCCAGTTTTTCATTTGGAAAAGTAGACCTGATTTAAATAACCAAAATAATTGATGTTGGCATAGTTAAGGTCAACAAGGTGCCTGCTTTGTGCCAGGCACACTTTCTATCTAATTTTTCATTTTCAGCCTAACTGTGCTGGTTGAAATCTACAGGACAATGTTAACTAGGACAGCAGACAACCTTGTCTTGTTCCTGAACTTACGGAGTAAGTGTGCAGCCTTTCCCCTATTATACTGTAATATTAGCTGATGATTTTCCATAGATACCCTTTTTCTGGTTGAGGAAATTTTTTTCTATTCCTTTTGTGTTGGGTGCTCTGTTTGTTTTTGATGAAAGGGTCTTTGATCTTGTCAAATGCTTTTCTGAATCTATTCAGGTAATTTTATGATTTTTATTCTCTATTCCATTAATATTTATATTACGTCAATGGATTATCGGATGTCAAACCAGCCTTACATTCCTGTGATAATCACCACTTGGACATAGTGTATAATCCTTTTTATATGTCACAGGATTTCATTTGCTAGTATTTTGTTGAGGATTTTTGCATTCATATTCATAAGCAATATCGGTCCACATTTTTCTTTTCTCATGATGTCTTTTTCTGGTTTTGTTATCAAGGTCATGCTGGCCTCATAAAATGATTTGGGAAGTGGCCCCTCTTTTTCTATTTTGGACTTTGTGAAGAATTGATATTAATCCTTCTTTAAATGTTTCATAGAATTCAGTGAAGCCAGATAGGCCTGAGCTTTCCTTTGCTGGAAGTTGTCAAATTACTAATTCAATTTATTTCCTTTGTTGTTGATCTGTTCAGATCATCTATCTCCTTTTGAGATCGTTTTCATAGTGTGTCTTTCTAAGAATTTGTCTATTTTATCTAAGTTATCTAATTTGTTGTCACAGAGTTGTCCGTAATCCATTGTTATCCTTTTTATTTCCATAAGGTCATTATTGACCTCCCCTCCTTCATCCTGATAATATTGAGTTTTCTCTCTTTTCATTGGTCAGTCTAGCTAAATCTTGCCAATATTGCTGATCTTTTCCAAAAAAAACCCTTTTAGTTTCATGGATTTTCTCTATTTCTGATTCTCTGTTTCATTTATGTCCATTTATGTTCTTCTTTCTCCTTGATCTGGGTTTAGTTTGATCTTTTCTCTCTAGTTTCTTAAGGAGAAAGATTAGACTACTGACTGAAGATTTTTATTCTTTTTTGAGATAGGCACTTAGAACCAGGATTTTCCCTCTAAGCTCTATGATAGCTGCAGCCTGTAAGTTTTGGCATATTCTATTTTTGCTTTCAATCATCCCAAATTATTTTCTAATTTCCCTTGTGATTTCTTCTTTGATCTACTCATTATTGGGGAGTGTTGCTTAATTTCTACATGTTTGTAGATTTCAAACCTTCTGTTGTGGATTTCTAATTTCATTTGATTGTAATCAGAAAAAGTAGTTTGCATGATTCCAATCCTTTTCATTATATTTATTCTTCTTTTAATGCCTAACATATGGTCTCTCCTGGAGAATATCCCTTACTTGGGAAGAATGTGTACATTGCTGTTGTTGAGTGGAGTGTTCTGTAGATGTCTGTTAGATCCAGTCAGTTGTTGTGCTGTTCGAGGATTCTATCAGTTATTGAAAGTGATGTTGTATTAGTTTCCTGGGCCTGCCATAACAGATCACCACAAATTTGGTGGTTGAAAATATTGAAAATTTATTCTCTCACAGTTGTGGAGGACAGAAGTCCCAAATCAAAGTGTTGGCAGGTCTGCAATCCCTCTAAAGTCTCCAAGAGAGAATTCTTCTATGCATCTTCCAGCTTCTGGTTGTTCCAGGCATTTCCTCAGCTGGGAGCTGTATAACTCCTGTCTCTGCCTCTGTCTTCTGATGGCCTCCACACTGTGTCTCTGAAATCTCCTTCTCCTTTCTCTTCTCAGACATTGGAATTAAGACCCACTCTAAATCCAGAATGATCTCATATCGATATCCTTAATTCACTTACATCTGCAACAAACCCTATAATTTCCCCAGAGAATCCTTCTTATCCATCCTAATCCCATAGATCCAAAACTAAGTCACACCCAGTGATTCGTTCTCATATCCTTCTATGTCTGTTTTATTGTCACAATGTGTCCCATTGTGTTTGTCCCCTCTGAGGTCAGCTTTGTGAGATCTAAGACCATGTTGACTTTTTTCACCACTGTATCTTCAGGGCCAACCACAGAGCCTATCACAGAAGAGACATTCAATGTTTGATGAATAAATGAAGGAAGGAAGGAGGGAGGGAATGGGTTTACATAACTGCTCCTTATCTCCAAGGACCAACGCACTTTTTATTCTCTCTTGTTCAGCTGCTGGCTCCACGCAGAAAAGGGATTTCTATGGGGCTTCCTTGGGCCCGTCTGCAGCATCTTCTCTGTGAGTGATGTCATCAGAGCATCCTGACCGCTCAGCTGAGGGTCATTAGGATCACACAGATGGTGAAAGAACAGGGATGTCCTTGGGTGGTCGTGGGTTAGGTCAGATTTTCTAAGACTGCTCCTAAATCTACAAAATCTACACACAAAATATTAAAAACAACTTAAGTATAGAATTGATGTTGGACAGGCTAGGATGAAGAAATGATAGGTTTAAAACTTTATTCAATAAACCTTCTGTGGTTTCCTGTAGGTAAATTTGGTTTTGTTCCTGATGACCCTCTGGATTTTGAAAAGCAAACTCTCTTCTCTCAACAGTGATGTGTCCACCCTCCAGAACACAAGGTAAGATGGAGAAGAGGGTGACAACCCCAAAGACATGAATCGTTCCCAAGAAGTAAGCCATGTGCCTTATCAGCCCCTGATGTCCTTTCTCAGGGTCTTCTGAGGT